GTTTTTCACTACAGTGCGAAAGTAATTGGCACTTCTGATTTTGACTCTTTTTGACACTTTTCAAATCACAATAAACTTTATCAATCGCGTTTTGTGTTTTTGCTTCGCTATAATACAATGTCTTAAACAAAAAAACAAAAAACACAAAGTAAAAATGATTACCAAACAAACCCATAATTTTCATGATTTTTTCTCCCCAAAAATTTTCATTTAAAAAGTTTGGTTGCAATCTTTTTCCTCTCTCTTTCTCTTTATTCGGGTTCGCTTTATTTTCTTTGACTTTCAATTTGTACTTTTAATTTTTATCTAATTAATTACTATTTTTAGTAGGCGGGTATAATCGCACTTCACTTATAATCTTTACTTCACAAAGTGAATAATTATTTATTTTCAAATTTCACAACTACCATTCTAATTATGAATAGTCTCCCCTCTCTCCCATCTATAATATCTTGGATCTCTTTGACCCCAACCGAAAAAAAAAAAAAAAAAACCTTATCTCTATTGAATAAATTATTTCTGTTGACAAAATAAAAAAATAAAAACTATAATATACAAAAAATAAATAAAAAAGAAAGAGTTATCTTTGTTGAAAAAAAGGGTAAAGTGTATAAAAAATAAAAAATCTGAACTGAGTTTGAATTTGCAAATAACCACCTTTAAGTATATTTTATGCATAATACCCCATGAACTATCACATTTTATTACAAAATGTCCCAATACCTAAACTATATTTTATTAAATAATCACAATACCATTTCTTATTGAATTATACTTAATCTATTTTTCTTATTGAAATAAATTATGAAAAAAAATTCATACTATTTTGATGACATATTCTCCATTAAATTTACCTTTAATTTTTTAAACTAATTGTTTAAATAAAAATCTTAAGGAGAAAATTTTAAATAATTTAATTAATTTTTTATTTTTCATGAATATATTACATGAAAAAGAAGGTATTTTTATTTAAGTAAAATATTAATTTTTCATCAATATATTGTATGAAAAATGTATTTTTATACGGTAAAAGAGTTTAAACTGAGTACAAAATGTTTTATTATAAATAATAAAGTTTTAATAATAATTTAATCCTTTTAGAACATTGTAGTTACAATAATTTTTTTATGATAAGTTGATACTAATAATAAAATTAAGGTAAATAGTATAATTAATATTTAGATTAGAGAAAATATAATTAAAATAATAAATTTAATGAGAAAGGGTAAAATAGTCTTTTGTATTGAGTTTGTCCTTAATTGTAACAAATCAATAATTCAAGGGAAATGAGATGACATTGTTAACCACTCGTTGTATTTGGTTTATTAGTAAAGAAAAAGAAAGGAAAATGATAATAATCATGTTGGGGAAAAGAAAAATAAGGAAACTATTTTAAAAAATTTACTATCATATCATTTTTTATAAATTTTACTCCGATCTGTTATAAAAGTAAGGGCAAATTCGATATTAACAAAATTTATTAAAAATGTTAATCTTTCCTTCTTTTTTGGGAGAATTGCAAAACTAAAATTTTATACCTAATTTGTATCATGCCAAACCCTTCGCTTTTCTTTCTTTTCTTTTAAAAAAATTATATCAAACACACTTATTTCATTTCCCCTGTTACCTTAATTTGTTTTCATTCTTTTTCTTCCTCATCTTTATCCTCCAACCAAAGTGGGCCACTTATTTGGCAGCTGTCACTTTATGAGCCGCAATGCATACCTTGAATTTGTAAAAGTGTGGAAGAAGTGAGCGACCCGCATACCCGTTTGCATGTGCCATCAGTGCAGACGATTTCCACATGATTGATCTACCACTCCACTACTTTCCAATTCAAATAATTTTGTTCTGAATCTTCTTCAAATTTTAATTTAATAATACGTAATTATTAAAATTGAAGTAATAATTTCGAATTGAATGACATCCGTGTCTGCTTTGCGGTTCAGACCTATGTTTTGGTGGGAACACAACCACACATGACCCCATCCACCGCAATTAGTGGGAATGTCACCTAAACCCCATATACGCAACAAGGCAGACAAATTATTCTCTCTTTTGAAATTTTTATGAGAGAAAGTTGTGAAATCTAAACTAGAAATTTATGATATCATTTCTCACTTTTGTATGTGCAAAGATTTACACATTGGTGAGTTGACATCTGTTGGATGCCAAATTCATCCTTGTACGTGTATATTTATGTACGTGTGAGTTGAGATTCGTTGGATGCAGTACAATAGAAAATCACAGTTCAATTACCTAGTTAGTTTCTTTCTTCGTTCTTTTGCTATTTTGGTCAGTATTTTCGCCACTGCTTCAGTATACACTTTTATATGTGTGAAGATTCACATGCGTGTGAGTTGAGATTTGTCGAATGTAGTACAACAGAGGATCCCAATTCAGTTGGCTAATTACTTTCTTTCTTAATTCCTTGTCTTACTTGGTCAGCGTTTCCAACACTTCACTCTTTTTTTTTTACCGAACATTGTTTAGAGGCAGTAACTTTGGTTAACAATTGTATTATTTCGAATTTAAGAGTGTCACAAACTCGAGCTAAAGGTGTTGATTGTACGAACTTGAACTAAAAATATTGCAACTTCAAATTAAGGTCGTTCAAACTCAAGCTAAAAGTATTGCAATTCTAAAATAAGAGTGTCGTAAACAAGAACTAAATGCGTTGCAACTTATATTATATAGATAAGGTTCATATAAAACTTCAATATGGATTGGGCTTATTAAATTCTAGTGGTGTAATTTGATGAAATGTTCATCAAAATTAGTTGAATATATATATTATTGAAACGTTTAGAGACCTTACATGAGTCCAATTATCATTAAGAATTAAATACTAAGGTTAGAAGGGTGACAATAAAATGTATTTATTATCGTAAAAAACGAAAAGTGGAAGGACCTATTAGCAAAGAAGTCCTACAATGGCACTCACTTGTAATTCTATTGCATTTCTTTGTAATTATTCTCTAGTGTTTCTTTGTAAATATTTTGGTGAATATATTTACAATTATGGACTTTTATTCAAATTATTAAAGAAGAAAAATATGGAAGTATAAATTTGATGGACAGGTCTTAGTTTGTTTCTAGGTCAAGAACTAGTGGGCCATAGTTAGAGAAAGAGTTATCTATAATAGCCCACACATAGGCTCTCCTAACTCGGAAGGACTTTCACAAGTTGAAAACAAGGTTGCAAGTCTCAATCGAATTGTGGCCTAGTAGTAGGGTTCTCGTCTCTCCAAAAGCAATTACATTATCGAAATTTCTTGCTTGAAAAAGAAAACGAAAAAGATGAATTTTTTTTTTTTTTTTTGGGGATAAAATTACATAGGCCTCCCGTTCTTAATGATTAAAATGTCATTTTTGCCATTTGTAATATGTGTGTAGACAATAAAAAATTATTTAAAAGTAAGAGTAAATTAGTATATATAACTATAGTGATTCTACATAACTATGCTAAGGGAGGTCAGTGTAAATTTATTTATTTATTTATTTTTTTTTCCTTTTGGTTCTTAGTATAGTTATATAGAATCACAAAATCCATCAATAAAGAGTGCCACATCTGCTTTTTGAATGCGACTTGACGAATCGAAAACCAATGCAATAGTTCATGATTTAGGATTTCCCAATTGTCCAAATTTAGTTTTAGCTTCCTTGAATCGATTCACGTCAATTTCAATAAATTCTAACTATTATAAGTTGTGAAAGTCTTGAATTTGTAAAATTACATCAATAAAGAGTGCCACATCAGCTTTTTGAATGAGACTTGACGAATCGAAATCCAATGCAGTAGTTCATGATTTAGGATTTCTCAATGGTCCAAAGTCAATTTTAGCTTCCTTGAATTGATTCATGTCAATTTCAATAAATTCTAAGTATTATAAGTTGTGAAAGTCTCGAATTTGTAAAATTATGAGGGTGAGTGTAGAAAACAACAAAATTTTACTTGGGTTGACTACATGAACCATACTTTCTATTCAACTCCATCCAAGGCCACTACTTCAATTGTTCATCTTTATCTGAGTTTGTTGAGTTACAGAACAAAATTGAGTAGAATGGTTTTTACTGCTGCTATTTGTGCCCTTTGGAGTGAGAGGAATGCTAGACTTCATTTAAGGGTTAGAAGGTCTGCTGTAGAGGTTGTGTCACGTCCTGGATTTCCCAAGACCCCGGAGTGCGATGAAGAAGAAGGAAAAGAAACATAAAGGAAAGGAAAGAAAGGGAAAATGAAACCGATTCCAAAACATCCGACCGACGTTCCTAACAAGCAAGCGGAATTAAGGATTAAACGAGAATCCTCAGTGATCACCATAGTCCCGAGCGTCACCTTGACAATGCTACACCGATCAACTCACACATTCAACCTTAGAAAACACATCCCCAAACAAAAAGGGAAGAAACGTTTAAATGACGCTGAACAAGGTCTTGTTTTGACCTTGAAAAGAAATGGGGTAAAAGAATGAAATAAAAAGGGACTGAGATTGATCACCATCCCTAGCTTAAAACAATCTCCTCCAAGCCCCAAAACACCCTCACAAAGGCTTGTGAACCATGGCCAAACAATTCCCTAAGATTGCGCTTCGAAAACCACCCGAAAAGACCCAAATATGCACCCATCGGGTTGTGACCGGTCCAAGCTGGTCAGTCCACCTTGGACACTAGGATTTTTCTCGGAAACACGTCTGTTTCAACCGGCACCATGGAACCTAATTTAAAACACCTCATATGGCTATAAATGGACCAAGAACAACATGAGAACATAGCATATGACCACATGCATCAAGCTTCTCAGAAGAGCAATTAAGTTCCCAATCACGTATTCTTGTACCTTAAACACATAGGATCAACTTGGATACTTCCTATATAGGTCATGAATTTCTTCAAAAGAAATATATCACATACAAGTATACTGTGGCATACAAGTCCCGACCTTCATGCTTTCGTACATAGAACCAAAAAGGAACCAAGTGAATACTTTCAAGGGTTAAGAATAGCTTAATAACAACTAAAAGGCATGCTCACTTGTTATTTACATCAAGCTCTTTAGTTGGATTTACCTAAACATAAGATCATGACTTTAGGTCCTCATACACCTTTTCATAACATCAAAAGTTACAAGCTCAACTTATAATCGATTACATTGAAAGGTTCAAATGAATACAATGATTACTCAAGCTACATCAAAATTAATCATGCTTCATTTCCTTATACTAGCTACGCACCGCCCGTGACGTACTCCTTACCTGCAAAATGATAGGGTGAGCAAACTAACCCAATAGACGATGCAGTAACCAACCCGCCTCATGATCAAACAAGTCATGCAACACAGAGAATTCAAGAAAACGAGGTAACGTCCTAAGGAATAACGGAATAAAGAAATTCAGAGAGGGTGGAGAGAGAGAGAGCATCCTTCCAGGCTCACCTTTCTTCTCATCCCTCCGAAAATGGGCAAAAGTGAGGAAGGAAAGACAAAATAACGGTTGCATAAATATGAAATAATATTTCTACCGTTCAATTATTTACCAAATTACTTTGTTAAACCCAAATCTAAAATTATAACAGTAACAATGTTACTTAATATGAAAATATGGACAAATTGGTAAAATATGCTAATGGTAATTACTTTCGTGTCTCTCCTACCAAACAAATGAAGGGCTCAACTCCTCCCCTTCCCTTTCACTCAACCAAACAAAAAGGGAAAATTATATCTTCCCTTTCCTAGGAGTACCTCTTCCATCCACTTTCTTAATGTTCCTTTCGGTAGGAAGAAAAAAAATTGAATGAAAGGGAGAGAAGAAGGGATCACTGAGACATTCCTAGGGAAGAGATTAACTGTTTCCATATTTTTGTTCGGTTGGATAGAAGAGAATGGAAAAAACTGACAATTTAATTTGATCTGTAGGATAAAAGGAATGATAAAATTTTAAGTTATTTTTACCATTAAACCCATCACTACTTTATTTATGGGATTTATTAAATATTTATGAAAGGTGATGTAGTAATTTAAAACTTCTATAACAGACTCACTTGTCTTCTCTCTTATCTTCCGCCCATATTTGGGCGGATAAAAATTTGTGAAGGAGGAAAGATGATTCATTTTTCCTATTATCATTTCTTTCCTTATACCATCCCTACCGAATGAAGGAAATTTGTTCCTTCCTTCCTATTTTCCTTCTACCCCTCTTCTTTCCTTTCTACCGAGCATAGCATAAAGGAACAAGGACACAGAAATTTTATAGAAGTTCAGTAAGTTTCAATCGATTACTCGATCAAAAAAAGCCACACTAGAGAGCTTCAATCGAAGTGTCGATTGATTAAAGTGATAATAGTTGCTCTCGATCAAAAGCTTGATCGATGCAAATTTTAATGAAAAAATTGTTTCTAGAACTTCGTATTTTTCTTTTTTGCTTTATCAACACCTTTTAGAGAGAGATAGCATACACTCATCCTTTTTTAGAAAGCATATTTTTCTTTCCCTCATCGACTATCTTGCATTAGATGGTGAGTTACTATTCAAAGTGTTGATCATAATAATCCTTGTGCAACACCAAAATGTTTCTACACAACGAATACAAAGTTTGGACATCACTAATCATTGACACCAATATGCAGACAGAGATGTGGATCATGCAAGTAGGAAATCTGTTGATAAGGCAGCAAGCTGAAAACTCGAGTGGAGAGTTTCACATTGGTCTGTGTTACCCGTTCAAGAGGGGATGGATTGTCTTTAGACAAGCTTAGAAACTTCTCGAGACTTGGGCTAAATATGGCATAGACCTACTCCCTCAAAGTTTCCTAGACTCCTACCTTCACCACCACTATACTCGCACAACAGCCTGCGTCACCTCATCTTCACCCTCACCCTTAAATATGGCATAGACCTACTCCTACTCAGGTTCCTATGCAACTCCCCCCTCATCATCACTACATTTGTTAATATATATAGAGAATATAGCATTTATTTATTTATCAAAAAAAATAAATAAATAAAGCTGATCAAACAACCCAGTTGATCATATATGTGTGCGCTGCACAAAGCAAGACAATCTGCAATTACGTTAGGCTAGGGTTTCATTTATATAGGTTATATATGAAACCCTTATATATGAAACCCTAGCCTCAAAGTTTCCTAGACTCCTACCTTCACCACCACTATACTCACACAACAGCCTGCGTCACCTCATCTTCACCCTCACCCTTAAATATGGCATAGGCCTACTCCTACTTGGGTACCCATGCAACTTCCCCCTCATCATCACTACCTTCGGTAATATATATAGAGAATATAGCATTTATTTATTTATCAAAAGAAGAAGAAGAAGAAAAAAAAAAAAAAGGTTCATCAAAGAGAACCCAGTTGATCATATATGCGTGTGCTGCACAAAGCAATAGAATCTGCAATTACGTTAGGCTAGGGTTTCATTTATATAGGTTATAAATCAAGTTTTAATTTTGATTTTTGTTCAGTTCATTTTTTAACTGTTATTCAATTTTAAAATGATGCTTTCAAAGTATGAAAGATGGTTTTACATGATAGTAAGAGAGTTTCCACTGGCAAAAGTAATTTGTAGAAAAATGAACAAAACCATGGGATAATCTGTTCCGAGATGAGTTTCACGGATTTATTAACAGTGAACTAGTATGCGACTCTTTAGAAGGTCAAACAACAACAATCAAAAAAGTTCTGAAAAAGTACTACATTAGTACATTGAAATAAAATGTATAAAAGATACGAGGAAAGCTCATATGAATTATAACTGCTGCACTAAAGCTGAAGGGGTAACAGTAAGCTATGGATGTAAAAAGAAACTTAGAAAAGCTCCGACCAGAATTATCTTCGTGATAAGATTAACAATTACCAAAATCATCAGAAAAGGGGGAATTATTCAAAATTAATGAAGCACAATCCATAACAGAATGGTTACATGTGAAATATAGAAATGATCAATATCTAAATTACAAATTAAAATCATATAAAAATATAGAAGGAAGCCATCAAGTGGAATGAACCAAAGAAACTTTTGTTCAAATTCCTCTGCTTTATTCAAATAATGTTAGGAAAATATTAAAAAAAAAACAACACAATTATTATGTTCATATAGGGATAATACATGCAAGCCTCTGTCCACTATTCAAATTTGGAATAGACACTACGATTTTGTGTTGCATAATGGATATTTGTCGTTGAACTTTTGTAATGCCTTACTTATTACAAAAATAAATAATAAATAATCATGGAATGCCTTAATGTAATGGACCAATATGGTTTAAAAACAAGCCAAATTATTCCTTGGGTTAAGAAGATCCTAATACCAGTAAAGAACATGTTAGAAGCAGAAGGATATCAAAAGAAGATACTGATAACGAAAGAGATGAAATTATAAGCTACATTTAAAAAGCCAAAAGATAAGGCTACAAAAAAATTAAAAATCAACAAAATCCTCAAAAAAATATTTATTGGTAAAAGAATTGAAGGCAGTCCAAAAAATTCAAATATAGAATTAGATTTTAAATATGAAGGATATAGTCCTAAAAAGATAGATGCCTTAATAGATACATTGTATCATTTAGTACGACCATATATATATTGCTCCAAAACAATGGACCTATACTTTTTTTTTTTTTTTACAAAGGACCCAAATATATCAAGGATAGCAAATTGACCATTGGTTAGAATGGAATACGAGACGAATCATGGTTTAGTAACAATAAATCAAAGAGAATTAAATATAGAGAGCAACCCATTGTTCTTATTTAGATGAAGAATTCTTGATTGTAAATAACTTCTTAAAACAAGAAGAAATAGACTACATCTTCAAGAAAAATTGTGTATCAAATCCGAAATCCTTGAGCCTAATTACTGGAATGTCTCTAAAAAAATTTAAAATTGGATCTTGTCCAGTAAAAATTAACGAACCAAATCTATCAGTTTCTACTTTCTAGTAGTACCCTTTAATCAACCCAGCATGGTGACAAACAATCCTATGAACAATCGTGAAAACATATTTGGAAAAAAGAAAATTTCTTTGATTAGATAACAAAAAGCGATAGTAAAATCAGGATTTAAGAAAACAAGTATTATCAAACCAAGGAAGGAACAGGGAATCCAATCTTTATAGCCTTATTCAAACGCTTGAACATATTTTTCTGGAAAATCCTTAACAATGTGGGAAAAATATAAGCATTTAGCAAGGATAGTTCTTGAGGATTTCAAGATAAGCCCAAAGTACTATATAACTACCCAATTCTTCATCTTTTCCGTCACTTACATGAGACAGAAATTGATAAGACCCTATGCATGTACATATCCCATAAGTATAATTAATAGGGTAATTTATGTTGAAACCCCTAAGGTTTGTCCTAATTACACATGAATTCTATTACTACAAAAACGTTCAAAATAAATGGAATGCAAGTTTAACAAAACTAGAGATAGAAGTAGAGATGTAATAAAGACTTGAAGAATAAGAGATATAAGAAAGCAAGCAACATCAATATCTAAGGCGGATTATTACTAAAGTAGGAGAGATTGGAGATAATGCTACTTAACGAATTTCGGTTGAATGGACGGATACTTCAATTAATTGTGTGATCAACACACACTTATAAAAACTAAGACATTTAGACATTTTCAGATAGATATTGGGTGATTAAGAAACAAAACTTCCATAAAATGAGTTTGATTAGATGAATGTTGAGGTGGATGCATGGTAAAACAAGAAAGGATAAAATTAGAGAAAATTACATATGTGGAACACTTGAAGTAGCAAACCAATTTTTTTTATTTATTTTTTTATTTATATTTTTTTTAACAAGAGAAAATTAACTAAGATTGTTTAGCCGTGTGCAACAAAAACCAATAATTGCACTAGTGAGGAATCTGGACGTATTTTATATGAAATTAATGATAAGGTCGGGAAAGACAAAAATTAACACGGCCAGTATTGGTAACAGCTAAAGGTGTGGTATGAGATAAACTAGAAAGAGGAAACAAGCTTAATGCTGAAGTGCGCAAATAGTTGGTTACAAGGCATTGTTGAACTGGCATTTCGCTTATGCAAGGTGCTTGAAATGGAGATTAAAGACAGACCTGACATTTAACAGAACACTATATTGCACAGAGTGATTTTTCCTAGTATTTGAAACTGCATTACCACTACACTAACAACAAATAAAAGATCTCCAGTTTAAATGTAAAAGAACCAACAGCCCCAAATCTTTATAACCTGTGACCCAAATCAACTATCAAATCACTGATAAAGATTATGCCCCAAATTGCAGATTATTGAGCCTCCCTTCAATTCTTACAAATAATTAGAAATTAAGACTACAATAGTGTTAAGAAATAATAGTTTACACTATTCATATATTTTTCTTTTTATCTCTTTTCATTTTTACTGCTTTATATTCCAGAGTTCGAAGTAATTAGTTTGGATACTGCTATCAATCACGAACCCACCCTTCCAAAAAAGATGTTCATAGATTGCAAGACGACAACAAACAATCCACCTTTGAATCAAAATCCAACAAGACAATCCATACAGATTCAGACCCTAAAATTTTTCAAAAAAAAAATAATAAAACATATAAAAAAACAAACAAACCCTAGATTGGGGCAGCGTAAGGGATGACTGACTTACAAGTAAAAGTTAGAAGGATGAGTGGATGAATGGAATCAATCATCGTCTGGGAAGAGAAGACGAAGCCTGGAAGCGAAAAGGCCAGTGGGTTCGAGAGCTGCTTGGTCACGGAGGCTGCGCTTGATATGGTCCATGCGATGGGTGAGGCCTTCTTTCTCTTGTCTTAGGGCGGATGTGTCCTCGCGGAGATCGTTGAGTCGGTACTTCTGCCCCAACGATCTGACGCTCAGCAGTAATATTCCGGTCATCACGAAGAACTGTATGAAGCTGTCTTTTCTCTTCATTGCGTGCCCTAGAAAACCTATTGGCTTTCTTCCTCCGGGGTTTTGAACGCCGGTGGAGGAGGACGATGATCCAGAGGAAGCCATGGATTTAGATTAAATTAAGAAATAAATGATTTTCTTCTAGCGTTAGACTGTAGCCACTGGTAACTGGTGCTAGTTCGGGTAGGTAGCTGCGACTGTTTTCATTGATTTCAGGGGTAATTTATATTGGCATCCTTGAGATTAAGGTACGTTTGGACGTAGATTTGGAGAGAAAAGGAAATGAAAGGATAATGAAAGCCTATTTAGTTGATTAAAATTGAGATAAAAGAAATGATGGAGACAGAGATCGGGGGATAACCCATCTCTCCTTATCCTTCATTTCCTATCCCACCATAAACGAGAAGATAGAAAAAAAAAAAAATGATATTATTTAAGTAAAATTTTTATAATTTCGAAATCATTTGTGACAATTAGTAATATTTCAAAATTTTAGCATATTTATTTTTTTTTCAGAATTATTTTATTTTTATGCATTGTTTTGCGTGTCATGTATCGGTTAACATGCCACGAGGGTTCTAAGAGTCATTTAGGACATTTATTTGTTCTGAGAGTCATTTAGAACATTTCTTTGAGTTTAAAACTCGGATTTTCAAGCCAGGAGTTTTTGTGTGGGCCCCACACGATTTGCATGCTCAAAAATATTTTCTAGACATATTTTAATGCAATATATATTATTTGATGTTTATAGGAGAGTGTATGTGAAATTTTACATGGCAGGGCATTTTTGGGATTCATTGGCAAGTGGGGCTAAAATAGTCATTTTGGTGGTCAAAGGTGGACCAACCTTTGACCAACTCACATGTGGGGGACATAGGTCACTCTTTTTCTGCATAATTCTCGGACAACCATTCGACTATCCTGCTTCTCTTCTTCTTCTTCTTTTTCCATCATCATTTCACTATTGTTATCCACTTAGAAGCTTGATTTTGACCACCTTTTTTTTTTTTTTTTAATGATATTGACCTAGTGAGGGAAAAACTCTCCATTTGTTGAGAGCTTTCCATTTATGTAAGATTTAAGCCTATCAGGCCACTTCAAATTTTCAGTCTCCTCACTAATGTTGGATTTTGATGAAGCTTTAAGGGAAAAGTTTGTTCTCCTAGTCCTCCTCTCTTTATTGGTGTGGACTTCATTTTGGTAGACATTTTTACTTGGTGTAAACTAGGGTTTGAGCTTCAAAGAGGTAGAGTTGTTTAATTGTCATAGTCCTTTTATTTTGTAGCAAATTACATGTTTTCCCCTAATGATGCTCTCTTTGTTGTTGCACAAAATAGTGTCACTTTGCTTTAGAGAATGTCAAGTGGGCATCACCTTTTAAAATTTATAAAAGCCACTTAACACTTATACTATGTAGTATGAAGTAAGAAGGGATCGTCCCAAGTGACTGAACACGTATTGGAATTAAATCGAACTTTAGTACTAATGAGATTGTAAAGAGAGTTGGTTTGGTTTGTTTAAACTGCAATTTGAACTTAGAAGCATGCAAAGCAATTAAACTAAAATGATTAGGGTAAAAGAGATAGGAGATGAGTCTTAGGGTATAGGAATCACCACTAAACTCATTCACTAAACCACAAGTCTTTGTCTAAATGGGGGAAAAATCATGTTGAAACCCAAGTGTGTGCTACCAATTGTAATAAAGAGCATGGCCATCAAATTCAAGTATGAATTGTCTACCAAACTACAAGCATGATTAAAGTGTAGTGCAATTCATCAAGTTCAAGCATAAACCATCAAGTTAATCCACAATTGTAGCACACATCATTCTAGAGAATAATACAATTTGCAATAATAAGCCATGGACTATCAAATTCAAGCATGGATTGCCTACTTATCTAGGAATTGAAATGTGATTAAACTACAATTAAGCTAAGATGTGAATTTAAGATAATTAAACTAAAGGTGTAGTGCAATCCATCAAGCATAAGCATAATCCATCAAATTAATCAACAAATGCATTTAGTGAAATCCATGCATAGCCATCACTAAATTCTTAATGAATCACACATAGACATGTAACTAATCTAGAGAATTATTTGAAAGAATTCAACCATATATAAAATCATGGAAAAAATCAAGGTCCATATATTCACAGGGCTAAAGCATTCATTACAACAATAAATTTCCCCAAAAAGACAAAGACTGGAGTTTAGAGAACAAGCTTAGGGCTCTTCTAATCCCTAAGATGGTGTTTAACCACTCATGGAGGAGGTAGATGTGATCTTGGAACCCTCAAGGGCAATCCCCAAACATGGCTCCATTTTCTTCCTCTTGGTCTTCTCGGTAGAAACCCTAGAGATCTTGATGTTCTTGCCTATTTTCTTCCCAAAAATCCTAATCTAGAGAGATAATTTTTAATGTCTAAAGTTGATCTCTATGTAAAATTAGCTAACCCTTAACAAAATAGTTCATTTTGCTTTATAAACAAGCTCCTTAGAGTGTAAAACAAGTCAGTAAATGAGCCCTCCAATCATTCAATCTCGCAACCACTTAGTAGGAGAAGTTTGGGCGAAACTGGGAATAAAACAGCTCTCTGCCAGCAAAGTTGCAATCGATCGTTGAATTTTGAGATCGATCGTCGAATTCTGCGATCGACTGTAGCTGACGTGGCAGTCTCATCTTGACAACTAGTTGTCTTATTTGCTGAGTTGGCACTGATGTGGAATTGTCAACGATCGCACTTGTCTGCGATCGACCATGAGTTGAACGATCGGTGACGTGGCAACCCCATCCAATTATTGACGTGGCTGCGATCGATTCTGAATCTTTCCTTGGTGATGAGCACTGAAAAGTGCGTATTTAAACCCCTTAAGCTTAGGCATTCTAGTACCTTTATCTATCTTATTTTACAGTTTTAGATTGATTTCGTATTATTTCCAATATCAGGCACTTATCCCGAAAATAAGCTAACTCAGCCAAATAAGAGCAGAAATGAAGCAATTTTGGGATGAATCAAAGAAAGGAGCCAAGTGGAAGTAAAAGGAAGAAAAAGGTGGAAATCAATATCTTCGATCGATCTCAGATCAAAGTTCAATCAATCCAACATGATCAATCTCAGCACTTCAAGATGGATCAGAGCCATTATGACATTTTCAGAGATCTCAAAAGTTCGATCGATCCAACATTATTCTTCGATCGATCGAACTGCCTTGTCCTTATCCAAATGATTGATCTTATCTAGTTGTACCACCCTACCAACCACTTTTGTCCTTTTCCCAAAAATATCTTCAAAATATCTCAGATTTGTTTTTATCCAAAAAGCGCCGCCATTGAAGATTGATCTAGCCTAAGTTCGATAGATCTCAGCCATGTTCGATCGATTCAAGTCCAAGGTTCGATCGATCGAACTTCCTCCAGTGCAAAAAAGTTAAATTTCCAGCTCATTAAAAGTTGTCCTTTATCCAATCATTGGGGAATATTTTGTGCATGACCCTAGCTCATTTTGGGTGTCATTTAACCTACCTATATAAGGATAAGGATTACTTTTTACACCATAGCACCTCATATCACATCATATCATCTCATACCTTGTAAGAACTCTTGGAGAGCAAGTTTAGAGGAGGAGGAGGCTAGAGACACCATTGGAGACTCTTCATCAACCAAGGAGCAAATCTCTACCATGGAGTTAGCCCTTGAGGGTTAGAGAAGCACTATCATGAGTGGCTAGACATCCTCTTGGGGTGAGAGTTAGCCCCAAGCATGCTTTCTACATCTTGATTTTGTGTATTATTGAGGGATTAGTGTTGTAATACATGTTTTGACACTTATATATATATATAGATCTTGTTTAATTAATGATTTATGTGGTTTAATGCTTCCAATTGATCATTTCATTCTATCCATATGTCTATGTATGCTAGAATAGATGTTCATGTGTTTGTCTCTATTTCTTGTGTTATTGATGCATTTCTATGTGTATTAATGCCATAAATCTAGAGTTTGTTAAAACATAGTGCTTAAAGGAATGCTCTTGTAATTTTCTAGATGGTTCATGCTCATTTCTTGATGGATTGTGCCTCTCCCTTAGCTTAATTAGTTTAATTTCATATCATTAGCTTAATTGTAGTGTAGTGGTAGCATAGTTGTTAGATGGGAGGACAATCCATGCTTGTCGTTTGATGTTCCATACTTTTGAATGCAAGAAGCATATGTCTCTAACCTTGTGGTGTATTTGGCTTGTGAGCTTAATGAAAGGATTAATGACTTGCTAGATATATTATACTTTTCACATGCTATTTAGACAATATATACTTAATTGGTAGATATATTGTGCTTTTCACATATTGATTAGACAATGTATGCTTAATTGGTCACCCTTGCTAATTGAATCAACCAAACACACACACACATCAATATTGCAACACACATTTCCCTCATTAGTCACTAGTTAAGGGTGTAGAAAAGCATTATTTGGTGATGACCTCTAAACCCCAAGATCTCTCTTTCTCTTACTTACTCTTATTTGCATTCAATTATTTGGTTTAATTTGCTCTTTAGTTTAATAAACCAACCAACTATTTGTTTGATCACTCGACCTACTAACCCTAATAGCGATTCCACAACCAAATTCGACTCCAATTCCTTTGGACCATCCCTACTCACCCTAACTATATTTTTAGTGAAGGTAGTAGTGGCTTCTATAAATGTAAAACTTGGCCCTCGCCGTAATGCATACTCTTAAGCTTATGGTAGGACGACGACCATAGTTTTTGGCACCGTTGCCGGGGATTAGGCAACGTCATATTTGTGGAATCAATTAGGAATTAGTACTCTTTTGATCGTGTCTTTATTTTGTTTTTATTTTTCTTTTTGTTACTTATTATGTTTGTTCATCTTTGACAAGGAGCATTGAGTTAGGAGGAAAGCAAAGGAGCCACCAAGCAAAGGAGCTAAGCAAGCTTGGAAAAATGCTAAATCTTTTTAAAAAATTGCTAAGCTAAGCTATCAATTTGGAGTTGAAGTGCTATAGGACCTTTGTGAGCTTTTTTTTACTCAATCCCTTAGTTAAATCATCGGCCCGCATGGAGGCTTGTTTTTAATTTCTTAGATAAATCGTGAGCCCGCATGGAGGCATTTTTAATTGTTCTTTGCATCATTGTTGTTAAAGCATAGGAGTATGGGTTAAGTGTTTGTGGAGGAAGTTTCATTGAATTTGTTGTGAAGTTGAAGTGTTTGTTCATTCATTGTGTTTATGTGTTTTTACATTGTGCATGCATGGTCGTAGGTCACTAAGACCAACTTTTGTCCCTCTTGATTTACATCTTGAATCCGTAGTTAGAAATCCTAAGGGAAGAGGAAGTTCTA